TAACCCGCAACAGGTCGGCTGGCTTAATTACCTATGAAATCCACTGGCTCACATCGGCGAGCAGCTTTTCATTTAAGGAATTTAACGTCGATTCGAGAGAATTGGGGGAGATTACATGGCATCGATCAGCTTTGAGCTACCCATAGACGCGAATCGATCAGATCGTGATCAGTTATCGTTGGATGGGCCGCGTTCGTAATCGCCTCTGGATTCAGAGGACAAGCGTGGAGTCCAGCTATGTATTTTCATGTGCTGATCTGCGAATGCATTTCTGCGGACGTCAGCGACGACACTGTGAGTGTATGTACTCTTGTCAGCTTGCGACTCCTGATTTTCTGAATGAGTGTCAAAGAACACTGGCATCCCGACTTAGTGATCACCCAGTAAAAGACAGTTGTAGGCCTCTGGTCGCATGTCCATTAGGCGCTACCATTCGCTGGTCAGTCTTCATGTGACCAATTCAATCATTCGTCTGAACAATAGGTCACTACGTTTTTTTCCCTGAAGGCAACCGACACGTTCATGCTGTGAGAGAACACAACGACACTCGCAAAGGTCTGAGGACAGAACTGTGTGCTGGAATTGGAAGAGTCCGCGAAGCTTCGTGCTGTGTATTGTACAGATAATTGTGCAGATCTGGCGAAAGCACTTCGATATTGACTGGGCTACAGAGCACGGGCTGTCGACACTGGGTGAGACGCAGGAAGCCTTTGCTCAGCTACTGTGTTATGTTTGAGAGAACGCCTTTTATGATTGTCACTGGCACGATTGGAGCACGCCTACGAGAACGGCTTGGAAGGCTGGCCAATCTAACGGATGTGCGCTGACATGATAGCGTTAGCTTAACCCGGGGTACGCGCTGGTGAGACGGGAATGGAGCGAGCGTGAGAACGATCCTAGCCGCACGTATTCGGACGGACGCTGAGCCCTCATAACGGACGAGAGGGGGTTACGGTAGACGCGCGCTAGTGGCTTAGACGCGAACGCTGCCCGGCTAACGACGCACACAAAATCACGTGACCGACCGACTCCCAACTAAGGCGAAGAGGAAGCAAGACAGGTGGTCCTCTGAAGGCTCTTTTACGACCAACAAAGGGCGAATCACAGCCAATGCAATGGGTCATTAAGTTAGGGAAAATTGCTACCACGACGGGGTGGTGGTTTGTAAAAGAACATTATCAACAAGTGCGCAGTTGGGTCGCATTTCGGAGTGGCTGAACGCTGCTGCGTTGTGGGGAGGAATTGGACCCCGCTTTCTACAGCCATTATGCCGGAGTTTCTGGCGCGTTTTTGCGGGGATATTTGACGGGCCCGCAACTGGTACGAAACAGCGTGAGCCGGAAAACACGGGATCCCGCCTGAAGTACTGAAACACGGTGGATCCGTGTTGTTAAGTACGCTACACCGCTTGGTGCAACGCGTGCGGATTGAAGGTGAAGTGGCGGCCGAGCTGAAGGATGCCATTGTGCTACCATTGTGCAAGGGCAAATGGAGCAAGCAATATGCCAAGAATTATCGAGCACCAACTTCCTTAGCTGTGTTGGCAAAGTACTCGCACGAATCCTGCGCAACTGCCTCGTCACTCAGGTCGTTGAACCGAACGTGGCGGATAAGCAATGCGGATTCCGTTCGGGCCACAGCACCATAGATATGGTGTTTGAAGCTGGTCAGTTGCGGAAGAAATGCCGAGAGCTACACCAGCCATTGTACTCTGTTTGACACGGTGAAACGCGAGGCACTATGGCTGGTGTTGGGTAGGTTTAGTTGTCCGAGTAGGTTTGTAAATTTAACTGGATGTCCGCACAGTGGTATGCGGGCGAAGGTGCAGCTGAGTGGACAGACCTCGGATGTCTTTGCAGTTGTCTCTGGTGTCAAGCAAATCTGTGTCTTAGCTCCTGCCATGTTTAATATTTATCTCCATGCCCTGATGTCTTGTGTGTTTGGTGCTACTTGTGCTTACGGTGTTCGTGTGGAGTACCGTATTAATAATGGGCTGCTGAACATCTGTCGTTTCGGTGCGGGAACCCTAGTCTGTGAGACAACTATCCGCTTGTTGCTGTTCGCTGAAGACTGTGCGTTGTTTGCACACAGCGCGGATGAGTTGTAGCACATGACTTCGGCTCTAGCTTCGACAGTGGCCAAATTCGGGCTCACCATCAACACAAGCAAGACTTGATCTTTTTCGGCCTACACCAGAAATGGAATCCGTGATTATTGTTGGCGTGTTGGTGATAGTATCGAAATTTTGCGTAATATCAACCGACCTTCAGTTGGCGTGCGAGCTTTGTATCTGTATCGAAGGCCGCTGCTGCATTTGGCTTACTGTTGGGTCGAAGCTGAGTTTATACAGGTCGGTGGCGCCGTCCGTTCTTCCCTATGGCAACGAAACGTGGACGCTGTACCGCTTCAATCAATACATCGGCTGGGGTGAACAATGTTCTGACACGGATGTGCTACGCCGCCATGACATGCGCTGAACTGCATAATTCTGCTGTGGCACATGAGGTGGCTGGTGCATATCAGTCGCGTGTCTTCTATGAGGATATACAGGCGCCTGCTACAGGGATAACTTGGTGCAAGGAATCCGCATGTGGGAAAACCGAAGTTACGTTACCAGGACGATCAAAGTGAGTTTACCACGAATTAATGTTGATTTAAGGCGTTTTGAAGCGATGGCAGTTGATCGGCACCGATGGCGAGTATATGAGTAGTGCGCGTGAACATGTGCAAGAGAAAGTATTATTGCATGCGGAAGCAAAGCACGGGATACGGAAGCGACAGGCGCTGATAGAGTCTACCTAATCGACGTCGAGTGCATGGTGCTGTAGCACATGCGGTCGCGAGTGCCTTAACCAAGTCGGCTTGGCAATTCAACAGCGTGGCCACGTGAGACCAGCATTTAAGAGTAGACGAATTAGCTGAATTGGTTATCATTTATCAGCGCAACTCTTGGTAAGTACGCACTTTCCGATTAAATTCCATTTACTAACTCAGGTCAATAATGTGGTTGATGTGGTACGTGTCACATCACCGCTGCAGTGTGACTGCATGTGCTTGCGTGTGGAATTTCTTGCATTTTTGGTGTTAGCTCTTGATTAACATCTCCGGTGTTGCTGCGCTTGTTGTGAATGTTGACACGGTGCCTACCTGTCCAACACCCATTTGATCACTTGCTCCAGATGACTGTTAATCGTTGCTGGGAGGTACGGGGTGCACCGTCCTGCTGATGGTGGTAGGTTCAGGTAGTGGTTCTATCCAATGTGAAGCGGACTACGGCCAAGCCACCACTTTGTGTACATCTGGTACGCATTATTCCTAAACTAGGTATACATGTTGAAGGAGTGTGGGCCGGTTCGTTGATGAAACGTGAATCCCATCCAAATGTCTTCGGTTTTACACTGGATACAGGGTGTGTGGATGGAGCTGTGGGTGGTGCAGCGCAGGCAACTTATGGTCCCTCTGTATGCGCATTTGTTCTGTGACTGTCCTATGGATGCCGCATTGTCAGGCAAATCCGGGACGGGATGCCGCAACCAGTTGTACTGTATATTGTATCGGACACGGAAACGGCCGCTGCTCTTACTATCACCGTAAGCTATTCCGTTTAATACAGGAAGTGGGCGAAATGTAACGGCGTAACTATTTTCGATTGCCTATCCACATGTCAAGACGCTTGCAGCTTTAGGTTGAACATTTATAGAAAGCAATTAATTTCTGCCATGCTGTCTGGGCGTTTCCTTTGGATCCGCACTCACGCGCAGACGTCTAACGCGAAATCAGTCTGCTGAAATCGAGCTGGTCCGCAAATCTGGATGAACTTCATATTCGGGGGATGGCCTTTACGATTTATTGGTGGAACTTTAGGGACAGAGAACTTTCCGAACAAATCGGTAATACTCCAATATAGCGTCAATTGTCATGGGGCATGTCACAATTATCTCAATCGCCTTTCAACTGCATGAGTCTGTCATTCCTTCATAGACCGACTGGAGCTCGTGAAAGTCAGCAGGTTGTTTTAAACACATCTTCATATTACCTCAATTGTTGAAGCATCGCCATGGTTATTGACGATTCACTCTGATCGTATCCCACATCATCAAATGTAACTTCGTTTCGGTGGATCCATTTGCTTTTTGGCGCTATTTCTCCAGATAGTTGTTTCCAGGTGATCGACCTCTCTACCTGAAGTACGCAGACGATACTTCCCTAATCTGTGGCGGTTTACAACATGTCAGGCTACGCTGGTCAGAGATTAGCACTAGCCGTCAATGATTTCGTATTGTGTTTTGCAATCTCAAAATGGGAACTTTCCTTTATGGTTGGGGGAGACCGACCGCTGAGCTGATCCTTGGTTGCTATCAGTTAAGATCCGTGCAGAAATTCAAGCACATTCGCATTTTGTTTTATATGTGTTGAGAACACCGCGTGAGAAGTTTTTCGTGTTTGCCGTCCAGTTCTTGGAAAAAGAGCAGGTGAACTGTTCGGCCTGACTTCGAATATCTCCATTACTTGGATTACGACAAATCTCGTGGCTTTTCTCAGCATATTAACCTGAAGAGTTTGACCAACCGTAAACAGACAATAGCCTGAATTGTTAAGGGCTGGCAAAGTAAGTCTGTATACACATGTGTCTTGCACTCAGACGATATCCGGGTATCTGTTGCACCAACCCATTTGCTGTTCAAACATGTCCTCGATAGTACGTCCGCTAGGGGACAGTCAACGCACAATGTGCCCAAGCAGTGATGACTACTGGCATACTGTTGGCGAGTCTAAAGTTCATTGTGAAATATGGCATTGGTCTGATTCGGAATATTTTAAACTTCTCATGTTTTGAAGGCTAGGGCGAATGCGATAGCTTAAAGCCACAGCGAAGGTTATCAAATTTCATTGGCACCGTGGATTCAACTGGACTTTTTCACTGAAAATGTTTCATGACTGCAAGCAGCCCTAAGTAACGATTTATAGTTCATCATTGTTGTACATCTCTCATTTCGCAGTGCAGAGAAAAATCGACAGCTTGGCAGAAGTTCACCACTACTGGTCCAATCGCCCTCCTTCCGGTAAGCCAATTCGCACTCCTTCCGACTACAGCCTTCCATGACCTCAATGCGTACGTAGCCCCTTGTAAAATGCGTCTGTGATTCCTGTTGTCAAAATAGGCTTTATGCAACCGGATAGGTACATTTTCAGCATTTTACACTCACTGCGAATGAAATAATTGTATCAAAACAAATAAAATGTTTAATGTAAGATGCGTATCACTCAAGCAAACAATTGCGCATCATACTGATGATTTTCGGTAGGTCAACAAGCAATCGTGACATGTACGGGAGGATAGAAATGGAAGATGGAGTACGATAAAGTAATATTAAATTTAGAGCATGTAGAAAAAGGCTAACGCTCTCATCATATAGTGGGTGGAACGGGTCATTTAGAATTTTAAAAGAAATCTAATACAAGCGTCTACGCGTTTTGTTGAAAATAAAATCAACAAGGGCCCTTAAGACATTCAACTATCTGGAAAATAAGTTTTAGGCATTGTATAAACAATGTGTAGCCTTATTGGAGGGTCATTTTGAAGTACACGTTGTGTGGTTGAATTGCGACGCGCAGTCCCAATGCAGACTGATACACATTGAAGTGAACCTTCATCAACTCGAGCACTAGGACTGTAGCCGATGAACCAGTTGCCCGCCTGAAATCACTGCGCTTCGCGACGCGTTTAGACCTTAACTGATCACATTAGGTAGATAGTAGGTCTCGAACTCGGGACCATGGGGATGTTAGTTGTCCTCTCTGAATAGCCCAGGAAGAATTATTGGAGAACGGTATTCATTGAGATAGAGTGCATGCAGGCACAAATTCGGACATCAAAACAACGTGATACTGAAAGCATTTTTTAAACCGTTATTGCATACTGTTGCCTATAGGCAACATACCAGAAAATTGTCCGCCTACTTGCCTTCACGAAGTTGTTCATATTACGAGTAAGTTCATTTGATAGAACAGGTATTTACGTTTTGCTTGACCGCAAAATCGTCTTTCGTACGCTAAAACAGAGGAGTTATTTGGAGGGAAATCAGAGAGCTTTCGACTGCAGATACTCCATGCAGCAAAGGGGGCATAAAAACTTTGTGGAACGTTTGAGCGGCATGTGTAGAAATTTAGAAATGTTCGGAGTGGGACCTGTGGAGAAGAACAAAACTCATGATTGAGTTTGTCCAAATCCACTTTATCAAAACGCCTTAAGGAACTTTGGCATATAGTTGTCTTAAAAATCTCCAAAACGTTTTCAGTGTATGAACGACTCAATCCCATTATCTCTGATTTTATTGCTAAATATAGTTGTTTAACCTAGTGCTTATAACATAGTCGCTTATAATATAGTCGACTATCTGAAATTGATGGCTGGAGGACAGCAACCGAGATCCTGACATCTAGGGCTACATTCTATGGATTTTTGTTGATTATATAACTTCACTTTTGATCTGTTACTTGGTTTGTATACCAATGTGATGGATCTTTGTGCAAATCGACGACGTTTTACCGAGGAAAATGATGATACGTCAGAAAATCTGTGGCAGGATTACATGGCAGAGTGGACCGAAGAGCAAAAGAGACTACAAAGATACGTTGCATGTGAACTCTTTCAGTAACTTTTCGTTCAGCCCTTTTAATGCAACACAGAGGAAAATCAAGCTCGCTGATCCCCAATTTATGTTACTTAAAGTAGAATCTCTTGCAGTCGCGCCACATCTTGTGGTCCTGTGTTATACAACTGCACCTCGATTTACGACATCACCAGACAGAAATGCCCGTGGATGAAGTATTATTCCTACGTACTCACGTTCTTTTCGGATGCTCAGCGAATTTCGGTCGAAACCTGTCCTCACCAAATGCGATGCGGTAGGTGATTATTGGTTGCCATCAATGTCTTCTCTACATTCTTATGTGCGATCTTTTTTTCTCGCTTGCAGCAGTTTTCCCAATCTAGTAACTGCCTGCCAGTTGGCGTAGCCCATCTACCACTCTTGCACACGCCTCACCGTCCGTACAAAATTAGCTAGTGCAGACTAGCTGTTGCTTCGTCGTTCACTGATTATTGCTATTGCACGTTTTCATAATGCGCTAACTAAAAACGTTGTGTTGTAGCTACTTCCCTTTGGACCATGGCCTCTTAAACGACGTGCTGGGTAACAGCATCCTGTTGACCACACTCGTGTCGTCTCACCCTCCTCATTTAATTTCAGCTATCCGACAGGTTCTGTTGCCTCATATGGAGCACTACTAACGAGGAATCTGAATTTTTGATGGCTTTGACAGAGGACGAGTTCGTGCATCGTCTGAACGAAGTGTTGGTAAGTTATTGGCCTATTCACCTGCCAGTAGCCGAGTGAGATAAAGCGTTGGTCTTGTGGCCCGAAAGTCGCCGGTTCAAATCTACGTCGGTATAGGTTACCTCGCTATATCCCTAGCCAACACGCAACTGATATCGGTCCCATGACAGCGAAGCGTCGGTATTAAGTGCCGAACACCGAATGACAACACTTGGTAAATAGACTAAATCGCATAGCCGTACTGTTGGAATTTCGTGGATGCGCTCCTACTGTCCACCGACCTATAAACTACGAACCAACCGAACACTTGCTATCATCTCCAACACGTCGTAATCACCTTACCACTGTTTATGTTGACTTCTGACATGGCAGGAAGATGTTATCTAATAGTTATGTGTCGCTCACGAAATCGTTGACCAGTTGAGATGCATCTACATGCAGTCGTGCTTTATTCATTTCAAGTTCTCAACTACATTACAAATAATGCTGTGGAATACTTTTTGAATGTATTCTTTGACAACTGACATCCACTTTGAAGCTCCGCCGTCTACTCGTTTGCCATTCTGTCCAGTCACGACCGAGCGATCCAACCCCTACAACTGCAATATTCCTTTCTCGAATGGGACGGAGATGCGCCAAATTCCTCGACCGTCTATGTGGAATCCCCGAGGCTGTTCCGGTCCCTCGTCCAATTTCTCCGCACATCGACAGTTTACAACAAGGATCAACTCGAAAACGGTTTCCGCTTGGATTTAAGCATACCACTTTTTACCACGCTCCTGGGGTAGCTCTTGTTGGGTAGGTTTCTCTTGTCTTTATGCATTTACTGTTAAACTTTGACTTCACCTTCGTCCGAGCGCACCATTCCCTTTTACTGAGGCTTCCCCTCCATACAACCATGAATCACGCAATGACTGTACTGGGAAAGAGATGGAAGCGATATGAAGTACAATGAACGTTCTTGATACAATTTCTTGATGATTTGGCTATCGCAGATAAAATATAAACGAAACTCTATCTGCTGCATCCAGCAGGATAGATAGGGATAATGATTCTACTGCAAAAATCATCAGCGTCAGGCCGACGCCTCCCTACCACCAACAGTCGTGCTTGGGTTGAGTATACCTGGAGATCACCCGCATCGGTGATTTTTGGATTACAAGGCACCGACGTTCCCGTTTTCTTATTCTCCCTCCTATGGTTTTTCATCTTTATTGTTCCGTCCCAACTTTACCTCTGTCCCCCTGTTTTCAAACCTTCAGTTCTTGGCCCTCTCCTATCTTGCTTCAATAGTCGTTTGTCTTCTAGTTTCGACTCACACGCAATCGCAGTGCGTCGTTCTGTTCCAGACAACAAGTCCAACCAAGCGGACAGTCAGTTCGTGCGTTTCTATTTGGAGCCCTCGACCTTCACTCACACATTGTTACGTATCGGTCAACAAACAGCACTTGTCCAAACACTACCAACCCTGTCGATCGACATCAGTTGCTAATCGGAAACACGCCTACAAGACTCCAGCTCTGCGCTCGTGCCAACGGCAGCACTTTCTCACTGCGCCCGTCTGGAGATGACGCAGTTTCAAATGGCGCCCACTAGCCTCAGAGCAGTCATGGACGAAAATCGATCACTTCACGATCAGTTACCGCTGCAGATGCTGCACTTTAAAGTCGCCGCTCAATTTGGAACACATGTGTGGATTCCGATCATAAACTTTATGTGTTGATCTACGAATACGTTTCCTTGGACACCCACGACGCCATGAGTGCATATACAATTGCAAACTTGCGATGCCGACTTTTTGCATCCATATCAAAGTACGCCAAGATCAGAGCTAACTAAGCGCTCACTGGACACAGTTAACGGTTACTGGTCATCAGACGTATGTCTTCGTGCTGCAAACCTGATTTCAAACACACACATTGGGTCTCTGGAATTTCCGGCTCGGAACGAACGCAACGAGACTCGTGAAAATATGAGGGCAATATTCCGTGTTAGAATGGAGACCGTAAAAGCTAGTGATCTCATTGTGCATCAGAATTAGTAACAGCCGCTGGTCGGGAATTATTCTGTATGGTACGAAGAAAGAGCAGCAGGAGACCTGGGGTCAGTGAAACTGTATGGGATGAGAGTAGACAGTGTATCCACCTGTCAAAACGTTTAAAGCGATAGGCCAAGTACACTGAAAAGCATTGCTGGGTCCTGGAGTACTTGCCGTGTGGCTGGATCGCGACACGTTATCACAACTGAGGTCACGGTTTACCTTGAAACCAACCTCTACCATTCCGATCACTCGGACCGCATCCGGAGTGGAGAGTTTAGGAGCTGCACTCCAACGAATGACCGGTTTCGTCCTAATTTTGAATCGTCAGGTAGAGATAGCTTGATCTGAGATTGGAACCTGACACAGTGGTTGACGGCTTACGCCTTGATCACTAGGCCGGAGCTCCGTGACAAGCGCTTGATACAGCACTTAAAGTCCAGACGCACGGCAGGAACTCCAAGACCCAACAATGAACTTATAACCGCGGTGTCAGCTGCTGCTCAAAAAGCTTTGGCTTAATGACCAGGGTGTGAACTGCGCCACGCACTGGCCCTTGGTGCTGATCACCCAGAAGACGTTCAGCAGCCTATCACAGCGACAGATATAGAGGCTAGTTGCGTGCGACCATGACTGCCTTTGCAGTTTAGCTCATGTGTTATGGGAACACTGTGTGAGTAGCGAGCGTCATCGCTGCCTTGCATTTGGCGCAGGAAAAGTAAATGAACCCCTAAGCATTGTTATTTCACACACCAGTCTCCGATAGCTCGGTCACTTATTTCCAGCACACCGACTCCCGCAACGGGGACCTGGATGGAAGAAGCGAGAGTTGGCAACTTGACTTGGTCAAGAGGCTTTTTTCGAATATGGCCTCGGTTGGAGCGTCCAGAATTCTGGTCTGGGTTTGAAAGACGATGGACACCTTTTGTTTAGCCACACCTGTTGTGGCGGTTGAGTCACTTAGTCCCTCCCCATCCTGCTTAGTCTCCCTCCAAGCACGGTACCAATGTCGACGCGTAAGCATGAAAAAGCATAATATTACTTGTCTCTATATTGTATTTTGTGGTATTTGTTATTTTATGTACACTTATTTCGAATCTCTTATTGCATTGTATTGCGGCACAAAAGCTGAGGTATCTCCCACCAGCTGATCTGTAAAATGACTGATGAAGCCGTAATCAATCTTTCCTTTGTCGACTATTCCAATCATACACCGTGAAGCGCAGTATTGTACGTATAGCACCTGAAAACCAAATGCGGGCGCGTTCCATGTCTTGTGATGTTTTTGGAAGAACTCAATATAGGTCGCATGGATCCCATATTGCAAAGTGGAAAAAATTGGAAGGGGTTTCATTCCTTACGGACTGCTGCTCGCTCCCCTCATATCTTAAGCCGTTAAACATTCAATTAATAAACGGCCAAATCAAGTGAGCGGTTAGGCGTATCCGGATCCGTTTAAAATTGTAAGCCAATTCTTAACGCAAGGCTCCTTGATTGGGTCACCCAACAGAGGTATGAAACCGCGCTTTTTCCGAAAATCCAGACGGTCTCATTTATCTGGAGATTGACCAGCCTAGGTTGTCCATATGCCGAGCGACCCGGAAACAGCTCAAACCAACTTACTTGTTCCAGTAAGTAATCAGCCACACGAGCTAGATGGCTTTAAACAAGCCGGCGCTATCTGTTACACCTGCAAATGATTTCCGTTGTAACCCACCACTCCTGGTTCCTCATCTATCTTAAGCCCTGGTGCTGAGAGCGGACATCTGTGCAACACACTGAAACACAAATTTTATTGCCCAAACACGGCGTTCTCTGCAAAGCATTTCGATCGTATTGTTTAAACAATGATTGGGACAACTTCTAAATCAATCAAGGGGGCCGTTTGTTATGCTGTGAACTAGTGTAGGCAACACGTCTAAAGTGGGCGTAAATGTAAGGTGGGGCGAGAACGAAGAACACCGAGTAATTTCGTCGTACAGCGGATGAACGCGTGGCAGCGAATCCCCGGAATGACTAACCGGTGCGCCACTGACGCCTCATACCCGTATTAAACGCTCGACATTAGTACGGATGTTATCAAGTTTCTAATGCATTCAGACGGCCCACATGCGCACTCGTGGCCCAAGCAACTGCAACTTGAACTGGCACCAGTCAAAAAGATGGCGCCGGCTCGTGGCCTTAAAGATCATAAGTCTGCCTTGTAATCCGAGGGCGCAGGTTCGAGCGTTTATACGTGATAGGTAACCCCCAATCGCCGCACACGGTGCTTCATGAAGGGTAATCGTCGCTAAAAACACAGAGCAGTTATCCAGTCATCGACGTTTCTCCCGTTGGTGGTGAATGTCTTGTTATGCTTCGGTTTACCATTGAGCCTAGTTCGAGTTAGATGTGCTTCTCTCCCATAGCTTAGTAAGCTGATTTTTCCCTCCAGCTCTGGTCTGGCTTGACATTTAGTGACAATTTGTGGCTAGTTCATATAAATTGCGCCCCCAACTCGGGCTATCTGTTGACTTTCTCGAAATCTGCACTGCCGATTTTTACATCCCCTTACAGTGACGCGGCTCACCAAATCTTACCTCTCGCTGGGCAGGGTGTCAACCTCGGTTTTGGAGACGTCATGTGTCTGGTCCGTAAACTGGAGAAAGCCATCGCCCAGGGAAGCCATATTGGTAGGTCCTCGTCGAATTGAATGCATAATTTCCATTCCGGAAGCCAATTCCGAAAATGAGCATGCAGGGATTGATATCTTTATTCGTCCTACCCAACTTTAAAGATAATTGTCGAAATCCCATATAGACACAATAACTGAGGTGTTTATCACCACTCGCTAATGACGTATGATGATGATACCGAATAGCTAATTTGCCATTTTCCTGGAAAACGTAGCCAGACATACGCGCTCAAATTGAAGCAAACCCACAGTGAACTTCTCAACCTATACGCAAGCATCTGCGAATCCAAGTTTGCGGTATCGGACTGCGGCTGCACTGTGATCAACTGGCCGCTGTTGTATACCCGACGTCACGAAAACAAAGCTATAGAAGACAGTGCCTAATAATATGAAAAAAGTTAATCTCATCTGTTGAAGCGACATGCGTCATCAATTGTCCGATCGCTAAATGGTGCTACGGTTACAGACCCAGGTATCTGCTTCCAGATAGTTTAGACACTGCGATATGAACATCACATAACGCAGTAACTTTCTTTGGCCCCATAGATGCACGATTACAGCCGGAGCTAGTGTGTACTATTGCGCAGCAATCTGTATCTTAGTGTGGTTTTAAACTGATGTAACATGTAAACACCGCACATTACTATCGGTTGATGTTCATTCTATACTGATGCTACTGTTGCAAAGACAATTTCACACATATCTCGTAAACAGAGATTTCAGAAAAGTACTTACAGTGAGAACATGTTGATGAGCGGGAAACAGAAATAGCCTCCTCGAAAGGTTCAGCGCCGCTGTGGTCCCAATCTTTGTGAAAAATTGCTGTGAATGCATGTGTTTCTGTTTTAGGAACCGTCACTTTTCTCCAAGAATACACCACCGAGCGCCAGCGTGCTGTTCTGCCGATAATGGCAACCATGGAGGCTTTGAACTTGATGTACTCAACATCTGCCTATTGTTCCCACTTTTTTGCCTCTCCGGATGCAGAAAACAGATACCCAATGCTGCGATTCTGCTCAAGAATCTTAACCGCGATGCGTGCTTCTGGCGTTGATACAATCCAATCGAGTGGGTTGATCAAAGTAAGTCATCTCATTAACTTAATTAATCCGGTACACACCGCGTAGGTTGTTGCTTTGAAGTCAGGATGATGATCGCGTCACTTGCCATAGACCGTTCACATAGGGTCAGGGACAGATTTGTGCACTGACTACTAGCACAATGATATTAGATGCGATGATAATGACTGATGTCCTTCATTTATTTACCTTTCAGAAAATCCTTTTGGACACAGCAACTTACGGGCGAATAAGTTCTCGAAGTTTTAACACATAAATAGAAAGCGATCCCATCTGGAATCATTCACATTTTTAGTAATAAACAATGTTCACACACAGCTGCCTGCTTAAATAAAAACTAGCTGGGTCCAGACATTCAATCAATGATCGAGGCGTCAGCGATCAACCAATCTACACTCGGGACTCGGTTCTTTGATGAGCTCAAATAAGAAACGAGTTGTGGAGTGGAGTGTTGGAAGCGAACATCGGAAACCGAATCACACTTGTTTAATGTCAAAGCGCGATACTCGACAGATGTGAGATTGCAAAGACAGCACACGTTGTAACTTGGTAGCACGTGCATCGTGGATCTGATGGCACAAACGCGTTTCGAACTAAGCCATTGTAGATTGCAATAAACAAAACAGTGCTTCATTCTGTGGTAGGCCTAGGATTATCAAAACCAGTGTGGAAACTGCGAAGTTTATTGAATGGAGCGGCAAACGAAATGCGAAAATGGGACTTAGCTTGCTTCCAAATCAGTGGATAGCAGACACGTTGACGTTTGAGGCACGCAAGTGTCAATTGTGAATATAAAGTATTCTCAGAAAGGACTGACAGCGATCACACAGTAGTGGTGTTATCTCGTAGTTTGTTACGTCCTCGACCTCTTGGACCAGGGACACGCCTCCAACTAGATGATCCAGGACCTTCAGGATTAGTCGGATTTTCTGCATGTTCACCTACGACTCCGCAGGACTGGGGTTGCTCTGCAAATAGGGTCGATTATAAGTACACTAATTATGTTTTTTGGAGAGGATGAGGAAGCGGTATTTTAGTGTATCAAAGTCGTCACACATACCTAACAAAAACTCATATAGATAAAAGTGAGAAGGAATATATATTATGACATTCTGCACCCTACCAATACAAGCGGCACCGCGTACGAATTGCCGGATCCGGCATCCTGTATATCGAAGACGCAGCAAAATACAGCACAGCAGAAAAAAGTTTTGTCAAGTGAACGATGACAAAATTACGTCGAATTCGTCGTGAAAAGTGTAGATAGTCAAGTTCATTTTGCAAGCAGCGGAGCTCCCTGGTTCGATGATCATTATTGACGAGGTGGAACCGGATCTTGTCTGGTGTCTGAACGCCTCTTCATGGGTCCTAACAGTAGACGGTAGCCCTTTGCAACGAGACTGGACATTAACGTGGTGCGACGGTTTGCGTACCTAGTCGCCTTATTGAGCATGGTGCCCCAGGCCTCTTAAGATCTACTCCTACCAGGTTGATCAATGTTTAGAGGTCAAACAAACTGTCTCCTGGTCCTCCAGGTTGAAGGTTTGAAATGGGATAGCGTCCATTTCTATAAAACTAAATCATTGCCACCTCACAGGTCTTTTGAGCCAAAGGCTTTGGTTAAGAACGCTGATTGCCTTCCTGCCTAGGTCTGCTCGCCGTGGCAGTGTCAGCCCACATACAACCATGACTATTTCTTCAAATTTCGACCATATCTTGCATCGGCCATCGCACAGATTATCAAGAGTCGCCTTATCTACTGCACACACATGCTACCGCTGGCGTCTCCCTTCTTTCTTTTCCATCTTTTTCTCTCACTTCCCTCTCAACCTCCATCACTAACCTTCCTTCCATAATTCCCAGCTATGTTGCAACAGCCATAATGCCACTGGAGTCGAACCATCTGCATCTCATCACCAACTGGATGCCTATCGACAACAGGTCACGCTGTCCCGTTTCCATGGCGGCGATCAACGTTCGCACTTTAAGACAGATAGGATGCACTCACACGCACGTTGGAGACGCTTGGTATTGAATCAACTGTACCCTGCTTGTTCTCTCGCTATTGGTTGCGCGCGTCCGGAGACCCTGATGCAGCACTCACGGGTCAAGCTAGGGTAGTCATCGAAATCAGCTCCAATGCTGAGTCATCGTTGGTTGATTGGATTCCGGTGAACAGCTGTATGTGTGTAACCCGTTTGATGACATCAGCTGTTAATTCACATAGCAGTATTACACGTTTGTTTGTTGTTTCAGCTTATCCTCTCACTGAATGCAGTTCTGATCCTGCCAATGACACATTCTACCACGAACTGAACACGATACTACGCAGTTACCAGTTCAGATATCATAGTACTTGTATGTATGAATGAACAAGTAGGTCTCCTGGGCTCTTCAGAAGCTCAGCTAGGTGGCAATTATGGGCTTAACTCCGACTGTACGGACAACGGCGAACGCCCAAATAGATCACATTGCAGGTGGCGTGGCTTCATCATAAATTGCTGCGCGTTCGGGAATACTTACGTCGACTCAAATACAGAGTGTCGCTTGTTAGAGACCCTGGAAGTCATGGCTCAAGACCAACGTCAATGGCGGACGTCTATCTCTACATGTTGTGGTGATTTTCCTTCCCTTCCCCAATAAAACAAACAATTAAAAACAAAAACTAAGTGAAAATGTGCCTTGGTAAATGAACGTTACCGTAAGGCGTACCAAGCTTCTCCCTCGATTGGCAACTGACAATTCATCTCAGCTGTCGATAAAGCTAGTCTGCCAAGATGCCCTGCGCACCGAACTGCCGATCCGTTGTTCTAGTGACAATGAACTTCGGTAGAATGGGGTCTCGGCCGCCATGCACGTTGCAGGAGCATCTGCTTGTGGCACTATCAGTCGTCACCGCACCAGTCACTGGATATCCGAGATCGGTAAATCTGTTGGAATTCAGAAGAAACCTCCCGGTTGGCTCTGAGCACAATGTGACCAGACGAGATATTAGGCGCGAACTGAAGCGGAGGCTGCGCGCTGATAAGCAATCCAGTCGGGCTCAAGAAATGGAGGAGGCGGGAGCAGTAGGCAATTGCCGCAAGTTCCTCCAGCTGATACGCACCACTGCTCCCAGGAAACCAGGCGTCAATGAGACAATCAGGGACAACGCAAGTGCACTGATACACAATAAGGAGCGCTATATGGCTCGTTGGGCGGAACACTTTCAAGACCAGTTCAGTTGGCCCCTTGCTCCCGGACCTCTTCCTACTCGGGTGATGCAGGACGAGCCGTGGCCAGTTAGTTTAGAGGTTCCATCGAAGAGTGAGGTCCGAAACGCGATCACAGCCCTCAACCGTTTTTGTGCTTCTGGCCCGGATTCCCTACCACCTGCACTATTTAAGGATAGAGGTGGGGTCCTTTGCACAGCATTGATCTACCTGTTCGAACATGTCGGGAAAGAGGAGATCGTACGGGCTAACTGGAGTGAATCGATTTTAGTGGCAGTATACAAGAAGGGTAGTCGCACCGATTGTGCTAACCACAGGGGTATTTAGCCTAAGGCCTGCAGTGATAAAATTACTAGCGTCAGGATTGTCAGATTTCCCCCTTTTGGTTCAATTTCGTCGTGGACCCCATCAAAGAGTGTTCCCTCACGGAACCTCACGATGCAGGCGTTGAGGTCCTCCTTGGTGAAAAGTAAGTTGATCTTGATTATGTGGACGATATCGTCTAGCTTTTTGACGATGTCGGGGCGGCCCAATCAACCCTGAATAGCCTCACTAGAGTAATCCTATCATTTGATATGCGCTTCGCACCCTCAGTGCGAATTGCTGCTGCAAGACCACTAGTCACTTGATGACCCCTTGACTCTTGATGGCGAGGAACTCGATGTAGTTGGTCACTCTTCACTTACTTAGGCAGCTGCATCAGTAACGATGGATTCACAGAAACTGAAGTCAGTTCACGCATTACAAAGGTTTTTTGAATCTGCGAAAGGAGTCTCCCTCCGCCTGAAAGGCCGTGTATACAATGCCACAGTGAGGGCCGTCCTGCTCTATGGGAGTGAGACTTGGCCCCTTCGGTCTGAAGATCTGGGGCGCCTTCAAGTTTCTGAACATCGTTGTCTGCGGAGCATTGCTGGTTTCGGATGGCACCAGCGTGTCCGCAACGATGATGTGCGTAGGCGAGTACTAGGCGGTGATAACCAAGCTAGTTCCTTAGAACAACAGATAGCACTGACTAAATTGCGTTGGCTTGGGCACGTACTACGTATGCCTGATCAATGTTTACTAAGGGGGACCTTGTTTAGTCTGCCAGGTGTAGAGTAGCGCAAGGCTCGCGGTGGACAGAAGTTGACTTGGCAGCGTGAATTGAAATCACTGACGACCGGACTTGGTGCGTCGGTACGTTTCGTCTTGCAGTCTGTAATCCACGAAACTCACCTTGTGCTTGCCTCGAAACGTTAAAGGACATGGCTCGTAGTCGACACTAGTGGCGCGTTTGCTGCCGTCCTCTAGTCGCACTGCTTGTTTATAGTGTGTTTGATGCTAGTTAGCAGCGGGAAAACAACTGATTATGACGCGGAGCATTGAAAGCCGCAAGGAATCTGTCTCGCCGATGTCGTCATATCTTTGCACGATAGCCAGCTGTTTGTGATGGCATGTCGTTCTTCGTTCCGTGGGTCGTTATGGTTGTGTAGCAGCGAAGCATCAGTTCAAATGGCTGATGTACTGTTGTTGTTGATGATGATGACGGTATCGCTGACAGCCTCCACCGTTCGGACGGAAATGACCGATTATTCTAACAACAAGTGACCATGAGTTGGCGCAGAAGACTGACTATACCGTAGAAACGCGTCGAAGTCTGGGGAGCAAATCTCGAGAAAAATTAGGATAATCATTCACAAGCTTAGACCGAGGCAGATATCAGCAGTGGACCAGCACTATATGCTGATGATACGCTACGATTCAAACGAAGGCAGAAGCCATATAGTAGCGGTACCTCGAACTCAGTGGGTAGTAACTGCAAGCCTGAGCCACTAAATGAAATATCTCAACTGCTTAAATGTTTTCGAGATACTATTTTGCTGTTGTAAGTGATATAATTTCAACTGATTTGCGCGCTGTGCGCATAAATTATTTGTCATGGTCACCATACTGTGGAGATGTGCATTAAGAAGGCATCGCGGTCACAGTGACGGCTAACAGATCAAGTGCATTCGTGAAACACGAAACAAGCTGTGAGTCATGTTCGCAGTAGTTTCCGAGTAAAACCATCGTCAAGATGAGCTTACCAGACATTCCATCGCTTTGACTTGGATCAGGTATAATTCTACGGTTGCGAGGACGACCATTAGCTGGATCCTGATCGAGCGTTCCATCCGTAGACCCACCACGACCAGGAAATCCGCGCGCCCGTCCGCGAAAACTAAATTCAGAAAGTTAAGAGACTTCTTTTATCAGCTAGTGAAATGGGGACAAGGACATTCAGGTTTTTATCAAAGTCTAGAAATAGTAAAACCGTAGGTTGATCACTGCAGGGACTAGACAAGAGTTGTCATCACACGGATGTCCTGCGCCAAAACTTAGCGTAACCTACTTTCCCGTTGTGAGCAGTGTCATCATCAATCATCATCATACACGTTAGCTAGAGGTGGGGAACACCTCAGCTACTGTGCCGCAATACATAGAAAAAAAGGAGAAAAAAACAACTGGTGCAAGCTGGCTGAGCTACCGGTAACAGATGGGCATCGTTCCGGTAAGCTACCAGCCGGCTGCTGTGCACCAAAAAAATTACTATGCAAAATTATATAAGACTAAATAATGAGATCGTGGTTGGAGAGGAGGCTAAGAGGGATGGGGTGGGACAAAGAAACTCACAGCACGAACGCCACTGAGGTCGGCTCCTAGCCATATCAGCAAGTGTGTCCAGCCAAACGTGTTCATCGTCTTTCGGACCCCAACCAGGGAGCCGAGACGCTCCAACCGAGGCCAGCTCAGAAGTGAGGGCCTTCAATTCTCTGGACCAAGTCATCGCTTGGCCACCCCTCCTCTTCTTCCATCCACACCTCCGGCGCGCAAACAACACACGTCGCGGAAGTCGGTGGGCTGGCATGCGTAAAACGTGGCCGAGCCATCGGAGCCTGGTGCGTGAAATAACGGTGCTGAGCGGTTCATTTCCTTTTCCTGTGCCATAAACAAGGCGTCGAACACGCCCGTTGCTCACGCGGTGTTCCCACCAAATGTGAGCTAAATTACGAAGGCACTGGTGGTCGAACGTAACTAGCCTCTTGAGGTCTGCTGCTTTAAGCGGCCAGGTTTCACAACCGTACAGTAGGGTCGAACGTACCGCTGCCTTGTACAATCTACCCTTCAGGGTGAGAGTGATGTCGCGCCGGCGCCATAAGTGGCGAAGGTTGCCAAAAGCGCCCCGAGCTTTTGCTATACGATTCGTGATTTCATCTTCAATCCCACGGGCGCTGATACAACTTCCCAGGTAGTTGAATTTGTGAACGACTTCTAGCTTATCCCCACCAAGGGTCAGCGTAGGAGGCGGTCCAGGCCAATCTTGGAGAAACGCTTTGCACTTCGGAGGTGCGAAGCAAAGCCCGAAGTGACGGACAGCTAGTGCTAATCTGTCCAGTGCCGCTTGGCACGTTTGTGAGCTGTCACAGATCAGGGCAATATCATCAGCATACTATAAGTCAAGAAGTCATTCTCCTGGGAGTAGCTTCACACCTTCTAAGTCGTGTCCTGTGAACGCGATTTCCATGACTTGGTCAAAAGAGAAGTTGAAGAGGAAAGGTGACAGCGGGCATCCTTGTCTCACGCTGCTGGAGATATTAAAGGGCGACGGTGAGCAGTTTAGTGTGAAATTTATTTTCACACAAAACCGTTTCGAGGTCTCACGAAGCGGCAAACGCTGTTCAACGATACAGTGTTATAATAAATCGTAACACAGTGTGCATTTCGCGATTTAAATCATTTTTTGAAGGAAAAGTCCATATTTGTCTCTTATCACAGAAGTAATAGGAAAAGCGCACTCGTCACCAGTCACACTACTCAGGAGGCATCGGCATTTTTCCACAGCAAATGATTTCAGTTGCATTAAAAGACCTCATCTTCTTTTGGAGTTTCTGTGTATGTGGACAGGTGAGGGATGTTTGGCACAAATCGTTCTAGGTTATTACGTGGGCTTGGATCTGTGGGGACCTACATTGACCTTGGTCATACGCCTGCGCGTTAACGCTGACGGCCGGGACAAACACGCACTTACACATACACACAAAGAACATGCTGTATCTTCACTGATTTGGGGGTCAGAAATCCACACATTGCAGTCCCGCTGCCCACCGTGTTATCGGAACAAACGAGCCATTCTGGAACCATTGGATGGTAACCCCTCAAATGGTCAACTTATTGAGGTTGAAGTATTACTGTCATAGAACAAGTGGTCAACACAAATCTTACAGAGGTAGACAATATACAGAGGTCTGGTTCCATAGGGTTCACATGGTGACCGTTCAAGCTGTGAAAAAGTGGTCCACTTAGAAAGGTGATCAAGTTTGGAAGTTTTACTGTTATGGTAAATCAACAACATACCCCACAGCACCACCACGGTTGGCAGCTTCCGGAGGACCAGTGGATGCGTAGTTATTTCTCACCGGTTGAGAAGAAAGCCGAAGCTGACTGCAGAGGTTGCGACGGGTTTCCTGGTGATTTTACAGGGAATAATGGTGTCCGAAGAGATGAGGTGATGAGGTCGGTTACCGACAGAGATCTTACAAAACAAAGACATGGTATAATCCTATGAATGACTTAGAATACGCTTATGTTCTTTGTTAGGTGTTTTCAGTGGTTTGAACTCCTGAGTTCAATCAGGTTGCTTAACGTCCAGGATTGTGGTGCACGACTGGCGGAGTCCATTACTGGATTCGCTAGTGTCTACAACTACAAGCAAGCTGCATGTGTCAAACCGATCATCCAACTGATTCAAGAATTAATAATGATAGACGCAATGGATTCGGCTATGATTTGCTTCGGTTTAGTAACAATAATAACAAACGACTGCGAGAAGGAATGAGGGAAAAGAACAATAAATGTGGAGATGGTCGAAATTGGAAGAATGAGCTTGGACGTTTAGCAGAGCGGGTTGCACTGTAATAACGAATGCGATTGGGATGCAATTGGTACACGATTTAATGCAAAAATGAACTCAGAATAAAAAGCGCACTTAGAGGGTAAGTAGCAAGAGAACATAAAACCTAAGTGCTTGTGTTTGTAAGTCGGTAGGAAACTGTATTAGCCGCTAAACGTATAGCCGAAATATTCTTCAAGGGAAACGATGTGGAAAAATCATCCAAACTATGAGACATATAATAAGAAACACATACTTCCAGCTCATCCAATTCGTTCCAGTTATCGGCTTGAAACTCTAGCAGTAGGCGCATTTTCGCCACTGCCGAACGAGTTCCAAGTAGATAGAAAGCGGGTGGGGGAAGCTTCTCATCCTTCGTTTGAGCAATTTCCTCGTCTCTGTCCCCAACAGCAGGACCAAGCACATATTTGTCCCCATTGTTGCACTGCGCATCTTGGTTAAGCTCGCCTGTTGCTTCAAATTGGTTCTGGTCCGGAGAGATAGGAAGTTGTTGGCGGTTCATATGTTGCTGTCGCCTCTTTCTCATCAAAGGATCAAGCAACTGTGCTCTGCGTACTCCGGCTGATGCCGCCAGTTTGCGGATATTCATGCCTTTGGATCCGATGAGGCGACTGGCCAATCGAGGGGAAACGGGAATCTCAGCTTCGGTATAATCTAGTAGTGAGCGGACGGCCTGACAAGCCTCGACCGTCTTGTAGAAAGGGAAGACGATAGGCTCAAGTCAAGAAATTGAATGAGTCGCGCAAGACGTGGATAACAACAGTTTATATATTCTATAAATCTGTGAGCCGAATTGTACCAAATTCGCTCCGTACAAAATAAGACCGTAAATATTTCGTTCCCCGAACAAGTGCTAACTCTGGATGAGAAGCGAGTTTTGAACTAATTAGTTCTTACCTCAGCCTCAACGTGAACGATACCGTCGTGAAGTAAGTCGACTGAACGGACACCCGGTAATCCCCGTGCTTCTTGAATGGTAGCGCCGCGATAGCCGATTGCAAGACCAATAAGCTGCGGTTGAATGCGGAACTGAGCAGAATATCCTATCATGATACCACCAGACCGATCTGCTGCGTTAGAACCTTCCGCATTAGTCTGAATTGGAATGCTTATCGGTTTACAGTGCATAGCTGGAGCGTCTCCGTTTTCCGCGGGAGACTCCGTAGAATCCGCAAAATCCAACTCACCCGGTTCCCCGTTAGACAACTTCCGAAGCTGTTAGGGAATGAAATTTGCATCGAATCATCAATCTGCAGTCGAATGCATACAATAGTTAGCAACTACAAAAGAGGGCAGAATGCGTGTCGCAATCCGCATAAGTGAATGTGGACAGGCACAAGAAACTCATCTTGGGGCAATAACGTGGGAATTTATTCCATTATCAAGCATCGTCAACCAACGAGCATGTAACAGACGTTCATCGAACGGCACAAAATCACGGAACAGTGTACCACCAAGACTGCGATCGTCATCATTAGTAGCAACATATTAGCTATTTTGACTGCTCTGCTGCAGCACGAGTATAATGACCTCTAGTTCTCCAGCCCTCTAAGTCCACCAGGTTTCCTTGTCAACACGTAGACTCTGTGCCAGTTCGAGTACAATAGCCTATCCATGTTACATTTTGCTCAGCGTAAGCAGGGTTTCCTTTTAGATTCCAACAGGTTCATCGCCCTCTCGGATATCCAGTGGGGTGACGACTGATAATGTAGCAAGCAGAAGCTCTCGCATCAAGGCACTATCCAACTGAAGGCCTATCACTCTAGAGCGAGAAGGTGGAGGTTAAGCACACAGAACACCATGGTAGGCTTGCCTAATGAAGGACTGGGATAACGATTAGTGCCTATTCATAGATGCTTGATACGCCTCCCCAGTAAAGTCTACGTGGAAGACCGACACTGTACATAGGTGTGATCACAGTCAATGCACTTGGTTAAGAACGAGCGGAAGTAAAGGATGGAAACATGCCACCTGAAACTTACGGCGGTGTGTCATGTGTGAGTTCATCGCTGATCGAGTAGCGCCTCGGCACCCAATGTGCCTCGAGCCAGTGCTACTAGAAAAACAGCCAGTGCTCGGGGTGCACAATGACGATAAACGCTCGTCACTCTACGTGCTTTGGGAACTTAATCTAGCCATCCCACATAGTTGAGCTTATGAGATGAACAGGTGACTTACATGTGCATTCCGATGCTCTACAATTAGAACGACACACGGACAGATAACGTTGAGACATAGTGCGTTGATTTCGTGGAAGTGTGACCTAGGCGGTAAGTGTTAGGCATAAGTAGGCTGTTGGTCCTAGTTAGGGACAAACAGCATATGTAGGCACTCAGGGTGTCCATATGAGTGCGAGAAAGGCGTTTCGACTCAGGTGGTATCGCCGCTGTTGTCAACTAGGCTGGTTATTATGGGATGTCAGTAACGGGTATCGGAGAGCTCGAGAAAAAGGAAGCAAAGTACCATGCTTTCGCTCACTTTCCCCACCATATGAAGCGAATAAGGTATCTTTTAAGGCTGCAAGAAGGAAGATTATGAATGCGGTTGATGAGATATAGACATGAATGCACATAAATCGGAGTCATCATCATCAGTATACACGTCAGCTGCAGGTGAAAAACACCTCAGCTATTGTGCCGCAACACAAAAGACAACAAGAAGAAAAAACAACGGAGGCACGCCGGCTGAGTTCCCAGTAGCGGATGGGCATCATTCCGGAGGGCTAACAGCCGGCTATCGTGCCGCACAAAGTTATATAATGCCTAACGAATGAGATTGTGATGGAAAGGGGAGGCTAAGCGGGAGGGGGAAGGACAAAGGAACTCACAACACAAACGTCATTGGGACCGGTTCCTAGCCATATCAGCAAGTGTGTTCAACCAAACGTGTTCATCGACCATAGGACCGCAGCCAAGCAGTCGGGATGCACTAACTGACGCCAACTTCGAAGTGAGGGTTTTCATTCTTCATCGCTTGGCCTCCCCTTCTCCTCTTCCAACCGCACCCCCGGCGCGCAAACAATGCACGTCGCGGGAATCGGTGTGCTGGCATGCGCAACATGTGGCCCAGCCATCAGAGCCTGGGGAGTGATATACTGGTGTTGAGCGGTTCACTCGCTCTTTCTACACCAAATACGCGACGCCGAACACACTCATTGCTCACGCGGTGGTCCCAACAGACATGAGCTAAGCAGTGATGATCGAACGTGACGAGCAACAATCAGGGTTTTCAACCAAGAAGCAGCGGGACGGTGGCAATGATCCGGTTTTACATAAATGAGTACCTTGGTTCCAAACCTCGACCGGGAGAGCCAGAAGACTGAGTTCATCTGACCTCCAACCAATGACAAATTTGGTGTGGGTTGCTCTTAAATGACACCAGTCAGTAGAGCTCGGTGGGTCAGAGTTACGCAAACCGTCACACTAAGTTAAGATCCAGTTAACCCTTTGTGTCCTGGCGGTACTTATAAGTACCACTGTTTAAATTGTAATACAGCTTCAGTGCAAGCGTCATGTCTGCCGTTACTAGCGAGGATACGTACAACACTTAAATAAAAGAGAGTACTCCGATACGTTACTCTCCAGTGTGTGGAGTAAACTTTTGTGGTTCTTGTCGAGCTGTAGGTAAATTAATTCAGGAATCAAAGGGTTAAGTCGCGACGGAAGAGTATGATCGAAAACTGGCCGAACAGGTTGTTATTCAATGATACTGGTGCTGGTGTGCGATGCATTACCGATAATGGAGCCATAGAAATGCTGGATCACAACGAATACAGGGCGCAGGCTGCACATCCAAATGCCACGGATACATGGCGGATGAAGATGCGCAGCAAAACGGAAGAGTGCAAACAAGCACCGCTGTAATACGTTCGGTTGTCTTTGTCATACAGGATTGCGATGCCACAATAAATAAATTGTTTGCGCCGCGTTAGGTTTTCAACAATTTGAGCATGTTGATACAAATCACAAAGCCAAGAAACACTACAGAGCAGAGTCCTCGGGAACACTACAGCAACGTTTATGAAAAGTGAAGTGTACATGACAGAAGCGTAACTCCCTAGCGGGATTCCAAAATCGGTTCGGGTGATACTGTTGTTATTAAAACAAACCAGCAAAATGCAGAAAAGCAACATTAAAACAAAACTTCACGATCAGTGCCGTTAACAGATTTGCGATAGCACCTTGGGCATTGAAGGTGCGAAAAGAGACAGCAGCACAGAGTATTTTGCGTAAATTACAGGGTTTGCCTTCACCTACTCTGTAAGTCCCAATGATGCAATGGAACATGCTGAGTGGCACATTCAGAGTTAATCATACCAAACAGAACAACCATGAGAAGATGAGGGGAAAATACCAGCGAATGACTAGGAATCAAGGTGCAACGGATTGCTTTTGAACCCTGCCCGTAGGTTAATTGCTGCTAACTTCATACTAAATACCATCTAGTCAACATTATACGCCCTCGATATAAATCGCATCCGAGTGAACAGTCACAACGAATAACCTAAGCCGATACAAAAAAGCATGAATCTTCCAACAACGTAGGTGGCCAGCCCCCAGATAGCTCCAACGGGATATTTAGGCCACACTATCGAAACGGATATGCCCAGGTTATCGAGTTGGTTTCTGTTGGAATCCATCAAGTTATCTTGCATTTATATAAATGCCATGTTAAACCAGAGATACTAAGTCTTAACATCACAAATCGGTAACAAGATCTCTATCGCAGATGACAAAGGAGTGTCAGGTAACTTGCTATAAAAAGGCCCCCGATTCAAAGGAAATGTTAACAGCGCGCCTAAATCGTACACCATATATCATCATCATCATCATTACACGTTAGCTGGAGGTGGAAAACACCTCAGCTATTGTGCCGCAATACAAAAGAAAAGACTTGAAACAAAGGCACGCCGGCTGAGTCCCCAGTATCGGATGGACATCGTTCCGGAGAGCTAACAGCTGGCTGCCGTAAAAGAAAGTCATATTATGCCTAACGATTGAGATCGTGATTGGAGGGGGAGATTAGGGGGGGGGGGAGAAAAGAATGTCACAACACAAACGCCATTGGGGCCGGCTCCTAGCCATATCAGCAAGTGTGTCCAGCCAAACGTGTTCACCGTCCTTAGGACCCCAGCCAGGCAGTCGGGATGCACCAACCGACGCCAACTTCGAAGTGAGGGTTTTCATTTCTCGCGACCAAGTCATCACTTGGCCTCCCCTCCTCCTCTTCCAACCGCACCCGCAACGCGCAAACACTGCACGTCGTGGGAGTCGGTGTGCTGGCATGCGCAAGACGTGGCCCAGCCATCGGAGCCTGGTGCGTGATATAATCGTGCTGAGCGGTTCACTCGCTCTTCCTGCACCAAATACGCGACGTCGAACACGCTCATTGCTCACGCGGTGTTCCCACCAGACATGAGCTAAGCTGCGAAGGCAGCGATGATCGAACGTGACGAGTCTCTTCATGTCTGTCGACCTGATGGGCCAGGTTTCACAGCCATATAGGAGAGTTGAACGGACGGCTGCGTTATAAACTCTGCCTTTCAGAGCGAGAGTAATGTCGCGTCTGCGCCACAGGTGGCGGAGATTGGCAAAAGCACCTCGAGCTTTTGCTATACGGTTCGTAACCTCATCTTCAATCCCACGGGTGCTAATATAGTTGCCCATGTACTTGAATTCCTGAACGACTTCTAGCAGGTCACCACCAAGCGTTAGCGCAGGATTGGGTCCCTGCCAATCTTAGAGAAGTACTTTGCATTCCGATGGAGCAAAGCACAGCCCGAAACGATTGACAGCCAATGCTAATCGGTCCAGTGTTTGTTGTGAATCACGTAAACTCGTATGTTTATTCAATGTCTCCTACTTCGAAAGAGATTCGGTGTGATCTCACTGATGAAACGAAAGAAGATACTGGGCTCCTTCGGCCTTTCTCAATCGCTGCAGTAGGATGATGGAGGCTCGCTGGTGACTTATATGTTTGCTTCACTCAACATTGTATATAGAGTGTAGTGGTCGTTGAGGGTCGGATAGAATCGAAAAAATAGAGACGGTGGCCTCTTTGCCACTTCCTTTACGCATCTCATGGAAATCATGGGACCACGATAAAGCAGTCCTCTCGATTGCCGAGTCATTAGAAACCAGACTGCACCCGACAAGCTCTGGGACAGCGACATGCTTTCTTCGGTTCAGTTTATGGTATTGGTTTGGCGGGTGCACCAGATTATGATTCTAATAGCCCACTATCACGACTTCAAAGGTCGATTAACAGTTCCTTTTAAAAGACTGCCTATTACCAGAGTAAAAAGAAGGATCCAAAGAACGAAACTTACAGATAATGAGGAATGAATCTAACGGATATCGTCATTTGACGTAGCATACGCGGTTGCCTATTTACGCGACTTCGCGGATTTGCAGGGGATATTGTACGATAGATTGAATTGCTCATTGTTCGGGTGAGGGTCAAAGAAGGAGCTACATCGGCCTAAAAATGTTGACGTGAATACATCATCATAATCATTGTACATGTTAGCTACAGGAGGAAAACACCTCAGCCTAGGCTGGCTTCCGCCCTGATCGTAGTTGTATCGACTGCAAAGTTGCTCTAATTTCTAAAGCACAGACACACTTAGAGATGACCGACTATGGTGGTTTACCTTGAGTTCATAGCACACTACGACTCTGTTGACCCCGCCAGCTTGTGGCACTGCTTATAAAAGGCGTGCCAACTAAACTTCTTTCCATTTTGAAGACTGTCGAAGCCATGAAAGGGTCCATGGGGAATTGTCTCCCGAGTTCCCCACGACAAATGGGATTCGCCAGGTTGGCCTTGTCCCCTTTACTCTTCAACTTTGTGGTCGAAATAATCAGACCGTGCTGGAGTGGAAGTTCCACTAGGTGGTCGAATGACAAACCTGAGGTATGCGGACAACATAGATCACCTTGGGTCTGGACGCAGTAACTGTGCAAACACTACCGGATAGACTGGTGTGTAGCGCTGCACGCTTCGGAGAGCGCTTTGCACTTTCAAAGTGCAACTGACTGTGGTGGATCGGTTCAGTTATCTTTGAAACTGTGTCACCTCTAATGGATACATCACTAAGGAAATTACTTCGCGTATCAGCAAAGCTCGTGTGGCTTTTCAAAGGCTCAACCATCTATAGAGATAAGGTCGATGTTACTGTATGGATCAAGAGACCTGGCCAGTTCGCGTGGACATCAAACGTTTGGCTGTGTTTGACCACTTGTTCTTGCGGAATATCGCTTATGTCTGGTGGCAACACCGGATGAGCAACGCTGAGGACTGCCATTTTGCTTATGGCAAGAAGCCTTCTGGAAACTTGCCGCTGTCTCACTCTATATTGTTTAATGAATCTTAACCGCCTACGTTGAATAGGTCATGTCCTGTGTATGCCTATTGTCCGACTTCCTCGGCGTATATTACACACCGTAGCAGCACTAAGTTGGGCGGAACCGCGAAGCGGCCAGTCCATG